AGAAACCACTTGACAAGTTATAGAGTCAGATATATTAAACATACAGAAACAGAAAACAATTACTAGGAGAAAATGTCTTCCAAGTTCATTTGCGGAAATTATTTTTCCTCTCCTCATTTTAGAGACTACCCACTGCTATTTACAAAAAGGACTCTCCCCCATGCTCCTTCTGTTATATACTACAGACTTCCTTTTTGTCCTTTGGGTCAGAATGGGACCCTCATTTTCTTTGGTATTTTTCTCAGAATCCTTTAAAGAAAACATTTCTTGATCAACTACAGACAACTCTGATATCTAGTCCCTCATCACTAAAACATGCAGTGGTTTCCTGATGATTTTCATGTTTTGCTATGATGTTTTCTAAACCATGCCATTTCCCACCATTCCTTTTCTCTTTTCCAAAGTTTCATCTCACGGGTACTCCCATTTCATTTCTAGCCCCATTTCTACCACACACCGCCTATGCCATGAGGAGTCACATGCTTTGTAACTGACCTAAATCTCTACCCAGCACAGAGCAGGAGAAACCATCTGGCTCCTCATTCTGGAAAGAGACCACTGTCATTTTAAAGACAGCTTTACCTTTCGGGAAAAGGAAAAAGCCATCTGAGAAGACTCCACACTCATTCCCATAGGACAAAGAGGAAGAGTCATGGCAGGTGTCTGGGCACACAACTGGTCTACCAACGTGGAAGGAGAAACTCCTCTGGGAAACAAGGACACCTCAGTCAGCATCAGCTATTATACCAAACGCTTCTATGAGTCTGAAGTACAGGTACAAAGACAGAGGACTGCTTCTATCAAACTCCCAAGGTGACTTTCAGGAGTCACTTTCCTTTCCTCTATGGGAAAGAGAAGGTAAATGACAATCTGAGGCAACAAGTGTTGGCACAGAATCAACTCAGAGAAAAGAATGGGCTGCAACTTGTGCACAGAGCAGGCCACTGTAGAGAGGTGGGGGAAGCTACAATGAAGATGAACAGCTGGTACTTCTCCAAGAAAGGCACCTAAGTGGGCTACTACAGAAACCTCCTCACCGTTAAGCATCTCAATTGGAGACTGCAGAGGTGGCTGGCCAACGAACGCAGAGAGCATAATACTTCAGTGGTTCAGTGAGGAGAAAAAGGACCTGGACTCAAAAGATAAAGATAAAAGAAAAAGGAGCATGGACTCAATATCAGATATCAGGCAGACACATGTAAGAGGAAAGGAACTTTGGAACAGTATGGGATGGCGAGTCTGAAGGGAGAGAAGAGGTACGTGTGCATGTACTCATGCCTTTGTGTGAATGTGTGTCCACACAGTACAGTCGCTGAGACAGGGTATTTGCTCTGGGGCAAGAACATGAAGAAAGGTAAGGTCACATTAAACCTGCACAGGTATCACAACAAACCCCACATGTACAACATAATACTGACATGAATGGTGAGTGTCCACAGCTACGTACAGAGCTTCTGACAATATCAGACCCGACTGTAGTCAAGTGCACAAAAGAAACTTGAGTTTGATTTAAATTAAGAGGATATATTGGAGTCAGTCAAAATTAAGGTTTAGAACTGTGAATTTCAAACTAGGGGACCCATTCCACAGGTGGTACACTAGCTAATTCTAAGGTGGGATGTGGATGAACATTTTTTTTCTTAATGGCTACATTTTATTTTAATGAACAATAGAAAATAATACAGTGAAATCATTAAATTAATATTTTTAGAGATTTTACATATTGAGATTAGGCCACATAAAGAAATGCATTGCTTTAAAAATCATTTTAAAGTACCTGGAACAAACAGTAATCATGAGTTATGTGATTGTGGCCCTAATAGCGAACAGAGATTTATGTCAGTGATTGAAGTTTAAGAAGCACTGAGCTTGGTGTGTAAAGAAGCCTTAAAGTGAAGAACATCATTCTATAGGAACATGCATTTTTTTTCCTACAAATTACTTGCATAATCTTCACCTGTACTTTAACTCCAAAGAGTGCTTTCTTTAAAAAAAATATTTATTTTTTTTAGTTGTAGTTGGATACAATATCTTTATTTAACTTGTTTATTTTTATGTGGTGCTGAGGATTGAACCCAGGGCCTCACACATGCTAGGTGAGTGCTCTACCACTGAGCCACAACCTCAACCCTTCCAAAGAGTGCTTTTAATAAAGTTCTCTGCCTTTGTCAACAGACTAGACAAAGGGAAGGTGAAGGGTGTGGAAACTTTTCAGTGCCCATCTCCTGTTGGTCTGACAGCGATGAGGGCATTGCCACCCAGGAGGTGTGAGCCCTGCAGCTCAGGCCTCGTCTTCCCCGTGCATGGACTCTCCCTCCTATGCTACAATGTTTGCCACATCAGCCTGGATATCACTCCAGTTTCCCAGAGAAAAAGGTGTGTTCAAAACAAACTATAAAACACACTCACATATTTATACTTATATATACTTTCTCATATGTATATACATTCACAGACTTTTCAATTAAAATGTTTTTTGGTTTTTTTTTTTTCTCTAAGAAAGACGGGAAGCAATGTTACCACCAACATCTGAGAACGTGGAGACTGCAGCCCGTTTCTGGGGTTTGCTTCCTCGTGTTGAGAGGAAAGCTCTGTCATTTTCCTGTCTCCCATCAGCACTCGCAGACACAGCAGCTTGTTCTGGGGCTTAGGCAGGTCTGCTTTCACACATCCTCAACTTTCATCCTCTGCCTTATATGATAAAATTAATCTTGGACAAAGATCTAATTGATTTTCTCCTCATCTCTGTCCTTCCCGACATGCTCCAGAGTGTGCTTTAAGACCCATTCCAAGGCTGCTTCTGTGCCAGTGTGACCACAAACCCAGCACTATCTTAAGCTTAGGGGAATTGACCAACACTGCCTGGCTTACCCCAATCTTTGCTGTATGTTGCTTTGTAGGAAACCTTAGGTGACCATGGCTTTCCTGGAAACTTGAGAGGCACCGTACCCTGTAGCCTAATGCCTGGATTTTTCAGTACATGGAGGTGAGATCAGTCCTGTTCCACAGTCTTCTTGTTATACACAGAGGGGCCAAGGCTATGTGCATACCATGGAAAGAATGAACCCAAACAGATGCTTAAGAGGAATGTGGGCTACTATTAGGAGGGAAGCTAGTGCCAGGATAGGGTCAAAGTCATCAGAGTGTACATATCCACTGACCTAGAAATGTTTTTAGGAATTTATCTTAAGGAAATGATCATGAATATAAGCAGATTTACATATAAGAATGATAATAGTAGCTTTACTTATTAAAACAAAATATTTGCAAGAACCCAAATGGTGCTAAACATCAGGATGCAGCCTTCTTGTGGGATACTGTGACATCCTGAAATGCAGTGAGGGTAGGAGGCAGGGAAGATTTGCATTCTGGACTTAAGATAAGGAAGGCTGTTACTTTTGAAATACAGGGATTAAACAAAAAATCACCCCCCCCCCCAAAAAAAAAAAAAAACCAACCTTTTTTATGACAAAGAAAATGACAGATCTCAATCCAGATATGTAACCTTTCCTCTTCAAGGCAAAGCAGTCACTGTCCTCTTTGTGCTTTTGCTGGACCTCACACAGATCAGCAGCAATAATTATAACAATAATGCCACCAGGCCAGCTTTTACTGAGCACAGACTCTGCACCTGACACTGTTTGAAGCACTTTCATCTGCACAATGGCCCTATGATGCCCAGCAAAGCTGGAGGCCTCTACTCCTGTAGTATCCCACGCGGCTCTCCTACTGCAACAGCTGAGATGAGACTGTCTCTGTTAGGGCCCGGTACCTGATTACCACCAAGAATGTAGAAACCTTGAGAAACCATTATTCCTCTTTTCCAGAAGTGAAGATAGGTCACATAGAGCTGGGGGGGCAGCAGAGGTAGAACTCCCATGGGGGCCACCGGGGGTCACAGCAGGTCAAGCTTACCTCCAGGGCATTCTACTGCCTCCCCTGATGCACATTTCTCTATGCTGACTTACCACTGTGTGCTCACTGGGCTATTTCCCTTACTCTGTTTTGAGCTGCTTAAAGACAAGGCCCCATTTTTTACATTCCCGCCTGTGGCAGGCATCACATAAACCGACAGCTGCATGTACGAACCAGCCTTGGTAACTGCGTGCGATTAAACAATAACTAATAATGGTAGCAGCCATTCTCAGTTAATGATCCTTGCCCTGTTCCAGGCTTTGGGCCAGATGTTGAAATGCCTAATTCCACTTAATCCTACTTCTCTAAGGGGGCATTTTCATCCCTGTTATACAGGTGAGCAAACTGAGCCTGAGAGAGGTAAAAGGCCTGCCCTCGTGGAGATGCTGGCACAAGAACCAGTGCCTCCCTGCAGAGCTGGAGGCCTGCTCTCCCTCCCTGCACAAGTCTCTTATTACAGAAGCTGAAGGAAGATAGGGCAGTGTAAGGTCTAATACCTGATCCCTACAAAGAACTCAAAAATCCTGGAAGGAAAAAACAATTTGATACATTTGCTGTCTGGAACAAGGAGGACTTATTCTCTAATTAATTCATTAATAAGTTCCATGTATTTTAAAATGCCAACTCTACACCAGGCACAGAGTAGAGAAAGGGCAAGGAGAACCAGGTCCCGCCCTCACAAAGGCACATTCTAGTATTCCACATGACTCCCTCTAATGGACATTCAATTACAAACTGAGAAAAGAAAAGGAAATCAATTCTATGGGAGCTACTAAAACTAAGGGGCCAAAGAGGCCACAGCTGACCTCCTACTGTTTGGCATGGAAAAGAAACTCAGGTGTTAGTCCACAGACCTGCAAAGAGAATCCTCAACAGCACCTCCTGCCTTTCATTCTTGGCAGTGCTGCTTCCTGTCCTACCAGGGTTACTCAGCAAATGGGACTTGATGGGCATTATGAAGCCCAGTCTTCAAGCACCCAAAAGGCCAGCAGCATACAGAGAGACCAGAGGTGTCCATCCCGAGCAGTGGAGGCAGCATGGGATGTCCCTGAACACCACACTGTTCTAGAGCAGCAGGGACTCACGTTTCTCTGTCGATTGCATGGCATGGAAGAGTGTCAGGGGCCTCTCGCTGCAGGATGGGGGCTTGGAGTCACCACTCTTCTTCCGAGACAGGTGCAGCTGGGCATTGGTGAGTGGCACATCAGGTAGGGTGTTAAATATCTGCAAAGGAAGTTTCACAAAAAGGTTACACAATTCTGCAGATTAGGAAGAAAGCACAGGTCTGAATTGGTACAACTGAAAGTTTGGTGGTGACTTAGACTCAGCAAGAAAAGATCAGAAAAGATCACAGGCACATGCTCAGGAGTCCACCATGAACAGTTCTAAGAACATCAAACCCCCTCCTTCTAGAGCTGGTCCCAGAGTTTGGTAACCGTTCACTTCCACTTCTAACTCCTGCCATACTTTTTATGAATCCTCTTTTTGTTCTCTTCTCTGGGAGAAATAGGAAACAGCTGAGATAAATATAAGCAACTGTCTGTTAACAGTACTTAAAGCTTTTTTAATCTTTGTCCAGAACCAATTAATCAAAATCCCTTTACCTTTTTCCATTGGTTTTATTTCCCAGTTCTTGATAATGTTTTACAACTTTCTTAGACTGTGAAAACTATATTTAAATAACATTCCAAGAACAACCCAGAGCAGGCTGCCCTCTCCCCTCCTCCTCAACTGCCCTCAATGGGAGCATCCTCTCAGCTCAGCAGCCCTGTTATCTGTGAGGCTGAGCGTCTTTTCCTTGCTTAAAAAATGTGTGTGTGTGTGTGTGTGTGTGTGTGTTTGCTTTTTTTACCCTGGAGGAAAGTGTGTGTGTGTGTATATATATACTAAAGACAATTTGGAAAATGAAGAAAAGATTCAAGAAAAAAAAAACTGAGCTTCTCCCAATTGTACTACTTGGAGGTAATCACAATCAGCATTTGGGTTTTATTTCTCTATGAGCTTTTTTCTTTGGAGCTATTATCATTATCATCATCATCATCATCATTGATAGCTAAAAAAGTGAGAATAAAATGATAGACAATGAACTTAATTTCTTAAAAAAAACAAAAATGAAAAAAGAAAATGAAGACAAAAATTATCACAACTCTTACCTTTTTTTTCTGCAGACAAAAATATTCTAGAATTTACTAAATATAATAGCCATCACTTACATGGTGCTACCATGACTACAGCAGCCGTCACTCACGGCAGGTTCCCTAGCTACCAGTCACTGCACTCTATGCATACACAGCTGGCTTGGTTCTCAGCAACATTCCATATGACAGCTAACATCCTCAACATTTCATAAGGAATTGAGGCACAGAGGGATTAAGTTGCTACAACTATACATATAATTACAGATGATAACACAGGGCTTTTTTCCCCAGATTCCTTTTTAAATTCATATAATAATACTCATTCATCTAATCAGCAAAATTCTTTTGAGTATCTACTTTATACTAGGCACTTTGGGCATAACAGTGAATTAGACAAATATGTTCCCTGTGGTTAGAGACTTTGGTTTCTAGAACTATGATTTAGTAAGTATTTGCCACACCAGGCACTAGGTAAAGTGCTTTGCATGAATTCGCATTTAATACTACACACACTTTTCCATAATGGAGATTATATTCTTTACACAGCTTTGTATCCCACACATTCCATCTAACATTATATTGCAGCATTTCCTTTCATTAAAAAAGAATCTTCAGATTTGATTCTTGATGGTTACATAACCTCCTCACTAATTGAGTTGTCCAAATTTATCAATCTATTCAATACCATCTCTTATCTGAAATAAGTCTTCTTCTGGATTTTTTTTTTTTCCTTTATAACAGTCATGAGTCACAAGAGGTGAATGCCCTGTGCTTCACCTATGGTGGCCTCAGACACCCCAGAATCTTTCTTTTGTGTGTGCATTTAAAAGCAAGATTCAAAAGCTGATATATAGAAAGCAAAGTCATAAGAATTATAACAATTTCAGCCCAAACAGCTGCTCTCCCTGAGTTGGCAGGTCCTTGGGCTCCAATGATACCAGCCAGCTGGTTAAGTCAGTCTTGCTCCCAAACACAGCTGTCTGAAGGCAGCATTATCCTATCTTCCCTAGGGGACTGAAAATTTGCAGCAAGACAAACTGAATCACTATACAGAGCTGAGATAAACTGGGGCAAGGGGTAAGAAGAGAAGACTTAAAGCAAAAGCAGCAAGATACTCTTGCTTCCAGAGCAGTCGGAACCCCTAATAACAACTTGCCAACACTTCACATCTCCCATCTCTTTTTGAATTTCTGCAATGGAAGACAAGGAAAAGACTATGGTTGTTGAGCTCTAGGACTACAATCTCTAAGAAGCTTTCTCCCCTCTTGACCTTGTTCACCAAACAATGGTGAGCCATGGCTGCTCTTAGGTGACATCCTAACTGTGCACCATTATCATCAGCATTTTAAAATGGCTCCTACACACGCCTGTGAGCACCTGCCAATCACTGTTCTAGGTGTTGCACACAACTCATCCCCAAGCTGAGGGTCAGCTCAATATAATAAGAAGAATGACTGTTTCAGTGAGGGATCTCCTGACCTTCCACCCAGTTAAGCAAGACAGGGACCAGGGCTGTAGTGGTCATCCATTCTGCGGGTTCTCTCCAGCTAATCTTCATACAGAAGCTGGTGCCCCCAAACCCACCAGAAAGGATTCAACAAATCATGGCATTTCTTGGTACCGTTCTGCCTCTGGCCTCAGGTACAGCACCTTCAGCAATCTCTAGCTAAGAGCATTTGAAAATTAATTCATGTAGGGCACAGCAGCACATGCCTGTAATCCCAGCAGCCTGGGAGGCTAAGGCAGGAGGATCAAAAGTTCAAAGCCAGTCTCAGCAATTCACTGAGGCTCAAAGTGAAATCCTGTCTCAAAATTAAAAAAAATTTAAAAAAAGATTCAATGCCTGGCACCCCCCCCCCCCAAAAAAAAAAAACCACCTGAAAACTGATTCAGACTTAGTGATCTGCCTGGTTCTCATACCCACCCTCACCTTCTTTACCTCTGGCCTCCAGACTTTGTCTCTCTTTTCCTAATGAGTAACTGAGATCTTCACCTAACTACAATGGAAACAAAGATAATGAATATTTTTAAAAATTTCATCTATCAATGAAGATGGGAGCATTTATACTCTTTCCTAAGAGTCATAGTAAATGTTGGAGAAACAAAGAAGAGTTAAGTTGTAAGAAATCACCATGGATTTTTAGACAGATGCATGAAAAATTGCTTTCAAAACAATATTCTTACAGAGCACAGCAGGAAGAACATGGGGACACATGAGGGAGAATTTCACTCTGCTCAATGGCCGCTTTCTTTAAAAGAAAAGTTATTTGAGCATAACAGAATCAGCTCTAGGAGGGAATTTTCACTGTGGGTGAGAGCTACAGTCCCAAAGGCTAGCTCTCTAGGTCTCACTGTGAGCCATGCACAGACTTCTGAGAGTCCATGAGGCTCTTCTAAAGATCAGTTGCAATGATGTGCAAGTGGGCACACTGCAAAACATAAAGTGCCAGGCTGGGGCCTGTTATCCTCATCATATTACACACTGTCCAAGGTGCAAGGGCATCTTTGTAAATTAGATCAAGTTAGAACAAGTGACACAAATGTTCAATTAAAGAGTCTGGGAAATCGTTCCCCACATTGCTGCTTCTTGTTTAACTCTAAAACATGAACACAAGCAAGGTGATCTTCTGGCCACCAGCTAGCCAGGCCCAGGGTTTGCTCCTGTGTTAAAAGTCCAAGTTGGAATTCTGAGGAGAATCTGAATTATTCATGTTTTGTTGGTTATTCCAATCCTATTTCATTTAGAAGAGTTGATTTCAAGATAATCAAATGAAGTTTTCTTCAGGCTGTCGAGAAGCATCTGTACAAGTGACCTGCTACAGTGAAAGAATGAGCTCATGTGATCTATGTGCGATGGATTTATGGAGCTTTACCATTTGGCTAGAACAATCTATTCATTTCACACAGACTTTCCAAATTAACACAAAATGGGGAGATTTATTCTGTGTCCCAAGTGTCTTGCTAATACTGACCAATTTACAAACTAATTCTGATTTAGTCAGGAATGCCTTGGAGATGAAAGTAAGGAAGACTCAGCCTTCTGGAAGCTACTGGAGAATAAAATTATAAAATAAAAATATAACTCTAGGTAACCCTTCCATGTATCCCCAATTTCAAGCTTCCTATAAGTGGAATTAACATACCCCCAAACACCAAGCTACTGTTTTCCCTTCAACCACCTGGGCTGCGGTTAGGATTGTTTTGGTCCCTGTGGTCACACAGCTGAGTCCTGGGTCTGCTAATTATTCCGTAGGCAACAACAGAGCTACGCTGTCCCTACTTACCATCACTGACATCATTGACATCGCCACAGCACCATTTAAAAGACAGGGAGAGAATTTAGAGAATTTATATAGGTGGAAGACAAACGTACTTTGGAGCTAGGTGGACTGGTTCAAATCCTGGCTTTGCCACTTATTAGCTGTTTGAACTCAGTGAATGTCTTTAATCTGTCTGAGTCTATTTTGCTTGTGTAAATGGGGATCCAACATCTGCCTTGCAGAGCTCTTAAGAAGAAAATGCACATAAATACTAAAACGTCTGATAAAGAGGAGGCTGGAAGTAGTGTTAGTGTAAACGACAGTAAAAATAACCAAAATTTGTTGAGTATAGCAGCTTACTATGCTAAGTTGTTAACATGGATTATTTACTTGGATTATCTGATTTAATAACTCTAGAAGGGAGATATTATTTGTGCATTCTGTAGATGAGGAAAAAGATCCATGGAGATTAAACTCATTTGGCCAAGGTCACAGATAAGGAGTACAACTGGACAGGAAACTAGATAGCTCTAGTATCTTAGTCACTTTTGGTCTTTATACCTATTATTAATTGGAGAGAGAACAAAATGGAAACAGCATAAGTTTGGGAATCTGACGTATCTGATTGTAGTCATTTACCAGTCCTGTGACCTTGAGTAAATTATATAACTCTCTGACCTTCAGCCGCCCCATCTGTAAAATGCCTCAGGACTAAAGTGAGGACTGAACACCTAACAATTTGGCCTTCACTGTTCAAAAGGCATTATTTTATTCAATTAAAAAAAGGAGACATATAAAGAATAAGAAGGGAAATAATGAGATTCAA